TGAACTCGGACGTGAAGTGCGGCGGCGCCTGAAGGGGGTATGCTTCGGTCCCGTAGAAGGGCTGAGTGTGATTGGGGCCCGAGTTGAAGGCTGGAGGAATAAAGGAATTGGAGGAGGCCGCGGGAGCATCCTCAATGACACGAACATAGACAGTCATGCAATTGCGGAAATTCTCGTAGCGGGCGATGAGGGTAGTACCGTCTTGATCCTCGAAACTGACGCCTCGGGAGCCGGTCGGGCCCGAGTACAGCCCGTAAAAGTTCTTGACAGTGGTGACAATGGAGTCGGTAGAATCATGGGGAAAGATGTCGACACGCATTGGAAGACGGCCACGAACCTGCGTCTCGGTGAAGAGGAGTTCGAATGTGACCTTCTTCGGGCTTGCGATTTGGTGAGGAGAGACACTACCCGTAGCGGAACGGACGGCCTGGTCACAGTTCGCAGCAGGTGTAGGCGATGCGGAAGCCATTTTGACTGTCGCCTCACCTCGCTGCGAGAAAAATGATGTATTGCGGTGTTTAGGATGGAGGTTGTCGGAGATGGTTGTTTGAGGATGGGACAACAGGAGCCTGTTGGTCCACTGAGGGTCGGTGTCGGGTGAGGGTGTCCGCCCTGAGACCGAAGCGACGAGAGTGGCAGCCCGGCAGCGACTGGTGCCTTCACCTCTGCTTGATGCCGACCTCTAACCCAGAAATGAGTCGTCGACTATTTCTAGAGTGTTGTCACACCGGGGCTTGGACGGATTCGAAGTGATGCGTGCCCTGTATTGCGGTCTGTCGGAAGTATGGTCGGTTATTGGTACTGGACGAGTCGGCAGGATATCAGGGAATGGTCGGGGTTGGAATTTCCTCGAGACTACTTGTGGAGAATGCCTGGTCAGTATTGATAATCGCGAAGCAACGGCGATGAGCAAGCGGATGAAGCAGATGGCTCATTGGGGGGGGATGGGTAGAGGACAGCGATCGGTCGTCAGGCCCAGCATTGCGTGAGTCGGCACACCTGAGGTTGGGCAGGACAAGAAGGACGGGTCGGTGGAGCGAACCCCGGGATGATGGGAGTGCGAGACTGAGCGGGAGAGGGCAAAGCAGAGGACTCACTTGATCGCATAGAGCGAGAGAATGGAAAAGACTCACCAAACGAGAAGGTGATGGCGTTGGAGGATGGCTACGGGAGGAGCAATCCGTGGGTTGTGTGTATGGGAGGGAAAAGAGGAGTTCCAGCGAGGTTCGATTTTGTCTCTGAATCTGCGGTCTGCGGTCCGCTGGCCACGGTCGACGGCTGATAGTCTACACTGCGGTCTGCACTGCGGTCTACACCCCTAGGCCGGCCGGTCGTGGTGCGCTGTTCAGCGATGTCATCCACTGGAAATGGCGCTCACCACTCCCTAAAGGCCCTGTGACACACCCTGCCAGGCCACGAACGGCCAGGGGTCGCCGCACAGTGCGCGGGCTGCGTGGGTGGCGTGGGCACTTGGGTGGTTTAGGATGTTACCTCCCTGCTACCCGCCTGCTGTTGACCATTACACTCCCTCATCGCCGACACATCGAGGCTGTTTTCTGTTGTGCCAGGCACCACCACCCTCTTCCCTCTCCCACGCACGCATGGAGGAGCACTCCTCAGTCGTTTACCTCAACCCCTCTGCTGTCGCAATTCCAATCGTAATCACCTTCACCGGCTGTTCCCTCACCCCCTGGGAGGGTTGGCGCCTGGGGTGCAAGATGGGAAGGTATTGACCCCACTTGCCCTTGCCCACTCTCACTCGCTTGCCTCTGTCACCCCTGCCTCATGGCCCACTGCCGCCCGCCAGTGGCACTGGTATCTGAGTCTGGGTGCGCGCAGGCGAGCGGACCTTACCTCGAAGCAAGAAGAGCCATATCGACCTTGCCTAGCTTGCCTAGGTAGGTGGTCCCCAGGTAAAGGGTAGAGGTGGTGCCCTGTCCCAGGCTGGTCCAATTCAGCACTCCCCGGCGCATTTGGTAAGGCGCATTCGGACCAAGAACGCTGGGCGCGAAAAGAGGACGACTCGGAAGCTCATGCGCCAATGGACGAACTCACCCGCCTTTTCCCTTTCGTTTCACCGTTTGCTACCCCCCTTCCGACCGGCCCAGCTTTGCTCTGGTCTGTCACACCTCGCATCGCCCTCTCGAGAGATATTTGCCATCTCGCGCACTACGGGCGAGCGCATCAGCCAGCGCCAGGGATCTGGCCTTGAAGCCCTCCCCCCAAGTTCCTGAGGTAGCAAGGATCGGGTGGTGCTTTCATTCCCGCTGGCCAGCGATGTACACTTCAACAGCGTCACGTAGGCGCGCTCGTGGAAGCGCCCAACTGGGCTTGTTGTCCAGCAGATCGCCAGTCCCCCACGGGCGTACTTCAGCACTTCAGTCACTGGCATCTTCACGCAAAAGACAGTGACGAAACAGTTCATCCTCGAGGACCTGACGTTCTACCTGGCTCCGCTGTGCCGCGAACGATGGCTCTTGACCAATAGCAAGCAAGATTGGCGGCCCCTCAGGCTCATCGTACACCGTAGGATGACGGCCATCAATCAGGTCAACCTACCAGCCTAGGTACCTACCTAAGGCACCAGGCCAGGCACATCCACCGGCGCTAGGCTCACACGTCAAAGTCGCCTGAAGAGGCAGCCACTGTTTGATAAGGTAAATAACAGGGCGTGAGACAAGAAAACAACGGAGCGATCACGGTTATGGTGTTATGCAACCAGGACTCAGAGCCACGACCACGACCGCCTGGTCCCGGCCAATGACATGGGTGACTTGTCCAACTAGAGGCGCCAGATGTGTGAGCGGTGGGTGGGAAGGGAAGCGCGGCAGGCCGGATGACACCCAGAAACTTGAGCACAGGACCCTCGGCGACTCGATCTTCCCCACCTTACGGCCACATCCTGCTCAGCTAGCACGCAGGTATGTACCGACCTGCCTACCGTTCTGCTTTGCCAAGCCATGCTTCGCCAGCCAGCGACTGGCCGACAGTTCCAGTCGAACGGAATCTGAAGTGAGATGGCCCCGGTGGTCGTATCAGGCACAGCCTAGTCCGGACAGTCTCTCTACCAGGACCGCCGACTGTTGACCAACAACGCACTGATCGGCCGCGACCGGTTCTTCTTTGCCAGACGCTGAGTGGCCCATGGCAGGCACAAGCTTCCAGTCCGTCAGATTGAGTACCCCGGCCTCTTGTTTCAAAGTCGCCTGGCCACCTGGCCGCCCATCGAGAAACCGCTCCTCAAGATGCTTCTCCGGCAGTCTCTCCACTGGCCAACGAGCGTCCGCAAGGCGGCATGGGGATGCGATGGTGTACCGGACAAGGGTCTTTGGCTAGGTACTAGGGCACATGATTTAACCCGAGGCCACTCAATTGAGGATGAACAGCGCAAAGGGCCGCTTCTCCCACGAGATTCCGTA